AATTTCTGGAGTTCTTACAGTACGGTGTACTCCTTTTAGATGATTGTCTGGTTTAAAACTTCCCTTTTCGCACAAACTTCTATGAATGTTTGAAAATGTTCGCGCATCCGGCCGGAATATTTCTATTTGGAAAGTGGTTTTCATACAACCGCCTGGCTTCCAGTGCGTTACATATAGTGCATGTCTGCAAACTCAGAATTCATATATTGGACCATGTTTTTTAAATAATATAGTTAATGTTAATGACTTAAATACGTGACAACTAGACTGGGTAGACAACTGTCAAAACTGTTTATGTTTGCAAAACAAAATCTGCTTTTTACATACTAGATCGTTTTTAATTCTTATTAGTACCTACCTAATTTCATAACATCGTACAAACGAATGAATTTTATTTTTTTATGCGAAAACCGTACGTCAAACGAAAAAAATTCAAGATACCACATTTGCTCAGAAAGGGATAAGGATTTCAAAAATGATTTTACTTTAAGAAAAAGCAGTGGCGTAACATATTTTTCTTCAAAAATATTCAATACTAAACCCGTACAGACGCCCTTGGCAAAAATAATAAAATTGTTTGTACATCAGAAAATGCATAGAAGGCATGTACCAAATTTGAAAAAATATCTAGGGTACCTAATACCGAAGTTATCATAAAAATTTTTTCATAAAACTTTAGCACCCTGTAGTTCAAATGTTAAGATTTTTAAGACGTATGTTCATATGAAGTGTTTTTTTCTTAAAATGGACCCAAGATAACCTCCTTAAATATTAGCACGTTATTAAGAAACACCCTGTATAAAAGTTGTCAAATAAAGCAATTATTAACAATTATTTAAAAATATTGAAATTAAAAAACCTTTTAATACAAACCTGATTTATTGTCATTTTCGACCACTCCGTTGTAAAAAAATAAATTGTTTGTTTACTACTGATACTGGGTATGTCTTTTTTTGTAGTTGCACGGTTTTGAGAACGCTTTTCGATTTGACAGTACTAAATAATTCGTACAGTACTTAGTGCGTGATATTATTTTTGATTTGTGGGTATTTTGTGGAATAGAAATGGCACATGTTTATGAAAACAATGAACTAGTGGACAGAATATTAACTTACGGGGAGTGTCAACAAAATGCAGCCGCAGCATGTCGCTTGTACGAGGAAAGGTTTCCTATACGAAATCATCCGGTTGGAAGACCTCCATGCGAAATGGAGATCGAGGAAGAAATTTTAGAAATTGTCGAAAACGATCCACCAATGAGCACTAGGTCGATATTAGGAAACAAACAATAATTTATCTTCCAGCGTGACCTCCTCGTTGTTCCTTTAAATACCCTGTGTCGCGGAGTCTTATAAGTAAATTTACAAATATCCGCGGAGCCGAATGATTTCGCAGAGGAAACCTTTCCGCGTACAAGCGACATGTTGCGATTGCATTTTGTTGACACTCCCCGTAAGTTAATATTATGTCCACTAATTCATTGTTTTTATAAACATGTGCCATTTTTATTGCACAAAACACCCACACATCAAAAATAATATCACGCACTACTTGTACGAATTATTTAGCAATGTCAAATGAAAAAGCGTACTTAAAATCATGCAATTACAAAAAAAAGACATACCCAGTATCAGTAGTAAACAAACAATTTATATGTTTACAACGGACTGGTCGAAAATGACAATAAATCAGGTTTGTATTATAAAGTTTTTAAATTTCAATTTTTTTTAAAATAATTGTTAATAATTGCTTTATTTGACAACTTTTATATTAATGATTTTTGGTAAATCGACTTTTTTGATTTATTCTACGGGCTGTCAAAGTAAATGACTCAACTTTGAGAACACCCGTATGACACTGGTTCTGTCATCACTGAACCGATAAATTTAGGTTATATCTGTATTCACCTTTATGGTGTGTAATTATTTGAGTAATCATGCAATTGGTAGGTTTTGTAGCTGTAAACATTGCCATGGTGATGGTTTACGTTAGCAGCACATTTTTAACGAGGCAACACGCTATTTTACGCATATATTTTTCAATGACAATAATTAAAGTTCACATACAATTTAACTATCGTGGTGCTAACACGCCAAGTTGCTGACTGACATATAAAGTACGTAGCCGGGTAACAAGGCCAGAATTTATGAATCTGAATTGAAACACACTCCTGAAGGCTTATATAATTTTTATTGTACTTCAAAATAAGTTGAGGAAACAAGAAAATACCTATGTGTTTTTAGAGTTTTACAAAATGTGTAATTGCAATATTTAATGCAATTCTCAGAATTGAATATAATACTACTTTACTTTTAAATGCAATGTATGAAAAACATATTAATTTCGACTGCAAACAGTCCATATAAATCTGCAAAAATGACAAAATTTACTCAAACATCAACACCAATTCAATTTTGATAAACTTTTGTAACTGCTATTTTATATCATATTAGAACTTATTTTCAAACCACAGTAAAAAACAACATAGCTTAAATTCAAATGTTATTTGTAAGTGAAATTATTTTGCCTTTGAATTTTGTGTGAACTTTAAATTTTATCAAAGAATTAATATAGGTATGTCAGAATGAGACCATACCGCTCAAAAATCACTCAAATCCTTGTTAATATTACGCATTTCTGAGTAAAGGGAAGTTGAACAAAGTTGTGTACAAACAGATACCGACGCATTTTTTGGACAAATACGATTAATTAGTTGTAATCAAGAATAGATTTTAGTTACTATTAGGCATAGCATACCAATATGACACACGATAGTTTAACAAATTAACTCTAAAGTTATTCAATATTATCAAAATAGGTTTACAGATTTCGCTAACAAATACATTTTTTCGTACAATTGAATGGTGTAATCAGTTTTTCAATTAAAAAAAAATTAAACAAATTATCAACAATTACTGAAAAATTCATTGTTGCAAGTCAGTTTTTATTTTTAGAGCATGTTTTTGAATTGTGATTTTTTTTGTTACCAAAAAGTATATGAAAAAAAAATATGAAAAAGCACCGGCAGAACTCTGTTATGATGATTTTTCTAAGTGGAATATTTATTTGAAAAAAAGTGTTTCGGTCCGGAAAAAGTGATTATCTCAGAAACTTTTTATCTAAAAAAATTTGTGGCTATTCAAGACTCAGAAAGGTATACTTTCACCTAGTCTCGTCAAAATTAAATTATTTTTGCGGTAATGAAAAACAAAAACGCAACTTAAAAAAATCATATTTCGCATTTTTCTCGGAAATTTTGGGGTTATATTAAAAGGTGACCTCTATAAAAGTTGTAGATTTTTGCATGATTTACAACTTTTGCATCGGAAAATCTTTTTTTAAGCCAACTTTCGCCAGAAATCGTAATAATACCATTTTCACCCCTTTTCAGCCTCTCAAATCAACCATCCACCACTCCCAATAGTGTTGTTATTCCAATACAATTAGGTGTGGACTCGCTTTAATAGAATATTTTGTTGATTTTGAATAAAAATTCACTCATTTTTTACGGTACATGTATTATGAACTTTAAGTAAATATTTTTGAGTAACAGTAATTATTCTTTTATTTTGGTTTGTAGAATAATCGGAAATCATAGTGGGAAAAGAGATTTATTCCTTTTTATCGATATACATATTCTAATAGATATTTTATGAAGTGTCTTAATATCCTTAATCTATTTTGTAGGGCAAAGTTGGTAAAATTGCAATAATTTTTTGTTTAATAAAGAGCTTCAAGAGCTTCTGTAGTAATGGTGAAATACGTTTGCATAAAGCACAAATTCATACAAATTTATTTATTGTTAAATACAGCTTCACAGGCCTGTAAATTTATTTATATTTTAATTTCTATATCGTTTTCATCAATTATTATTTACCTAAAATAGGTTAGATGGTGATATTTACCAATTTTTTAGATAATTTTTTAGTTCAAGGCAAATAGAATGACGGATGCAGCCAAATTTATTGAAGAAGATGGATTCAATGTTAACGAAGCCTTTGAAAGATATGGTTTTACAGTAACAGAAGAAGAGAAAAGAAAGGAGGAGGAAGAAGAAAAATCAAATCGTCCTTTCTCTCTCTTTGGGCGCGAAAATAAAAATTAAAATCAGAAATTATTTTGACTTAAACTGCCACTAAGAAGTTACACAGAAAATTAAGTATGCACTAACTCAAAAAGTAAGTAAGAGCATCTGAGTTGACAGAATTTAAATTAAAGGGAAAGCACACTGAACTGTAAAAATGTACCTCAACCTGATGATGAGGCTGTAGAGAGCGATAAAAAATATTTTGAAAGTATAATTACTACTTCACTAAAAAAATATCGACTGGACGCAGTTTTTGTCATATCATCGATTGATTCGTATGTTTAGTATATACTAAATGTGCGTCATATTTAAACAGAACAATTTATAATTACTGACAATGAAAGTAATATTAAGTTCATATCGAGCTAATATCCTTGACAGGAAAAATGACTTCGGATGGAGCAAGGTCGAGCGAGATTATCGCTCTTTACCTACGCCATCTATGTAGGCTTGGATGCCTCGTAGAGGCAAAACTCTTCCCCTCCATCCCGAAACGCTCACGCGGTCGGATTTGAGCGCTTAGTAGAGCCTCCTGTTGTTCTGATAAGTTTATACTCGTATTATGTTCTTGAATATTTATATCATTATCTGTTCCATATATTATGGGGGCGAGAGAGTGATTACTACCAATTATTTGTAAGAAAGCCAAATTTGTTTTTTTGCTTTTTTGTTGTCATTTTATCACCTACTTTTCTCAGTATGTATTTGACAAATTGTTAAATTTGCACGGACAGCATTTATTGAAATGTTTTATTTTTGCACAAGAAAGCAACCTTAATAACATCTATCGACATATGCATTTAACTAGTGTTAACATAAAATATAGAGAATCCAATTTCTTAGTTTCTCAGAAATGGTAACGATAACCATGTGAGTAAATAATTATTTCTATAAAAAATATAATTTTACTTACTCTTATAAAAAAATAGACCATAAAAAATATGTTGAAGGCAAGGTCGATTTGTTGAGTAATATTATCACTCCACTGTAGACAGCGTTCCACGCATTCACTGAAAAGAAATATAAAACAGTTGAAAACTCCTTTTAATATATTTTTAATTTAAAGCATTTTAATAGTATATAAACTAAGTACCCATCTCTAATAAATTCCAACATATAAGAAAACAACTGTGTGTGTAGTATATCGATTTAATCACACTTATCTGACATAGTGATTCATTAGAAATAAATTAGATTTGCTCAAAATAAAAAATATATATATCTGCATTTAAATAGTATTTTATCATTTTTAAGTTTTAAGTAGATTCATTGACAAAGTTTATTTCTTTCTTCAATAATGGCTTCATTGATAACCCAAAACGAGTTATAGAGGTCGCGTACTGTAATTGCAACATCTATTGAGGATGGTTGGTGCAAACGCGTTTATTGATTGGACAAATGTCAAACATAACGGTATTGTTCTTATTGATATTCGCAATGTAATTTGCTGTATATATCATTATTGTTGTCAATCATGTCTTTAAATTGCTTTATATGTTAACATCGTTAATAAACTGCAAAATTGAAATTTGATCAAGTAGAAAGTTCAAATGTTTAGGTCTCTAAATACAGGGTGTTAATGAACTTATGTCAAAAATTTAAAGAAGTGAAAAAGGAGCAAAAACTGAGTTAACTGATTTCACAAACTTGTATCGGAAGTTTAAGGTCACAGAGAAAAAAGCTTATTAAAAATGTATTTAAAACTGTTTTGGAACTGCTGAAATTACATGTATTCTATAGCGGCGAGTATTTACAAAAAATTCTGAAACACTTTTTACGAGTTTGTAGGTTTCTTATGAAGTCGGACTGTATTCGAAAGTCAGTTTGTAATACACTGTTGTAGTGATTGCTGTGCTGTTTTTCGAGAGTACATTTAATAGCCGTATTTCCAATTTTTCTTTCGAAAATGGCGCATTTATTTAGCAATCGCGAATATTATGATATGCTCATAATTTATGGCGAAGCAAACGAAAACTCCCATAGAGCTTGTCAAGTGTACCGAGCAAGATATCCTGAACGACGTGCCCCCGCACCGCGACCATTTGTTGCTGTAGCGCAAAGAGTTTTGGACACCGGTGAAGTACAACCGCGTCGATGTCGCGACGGTGGCCCAGGGCGACCACTAAGAATCTTAAATGACGAGGAGATGATTTTAGATCTCGTTGAAAAATATCCGCGTCGTAGCACAAGAAATATCGCACAGCATGGCGGACATTACGAGAAGCTCAGTTGTACCCATTTCATATTCAACGTGTTCAAGCGCTTACTCCTGAGGATTTTCCAATACGTCGAGGTTTTTGCGAATGGTTGCTTCAGGAACATGCAAGGAATCCTCAATTTACAGCGTAAATACTTGTTACAGATGAATCATGTTTCAGTCAGTCAACACTCACCACTGGACTATAGAAAATCTACACGAAATACGGCGCGGTGCCTTTCGGCAACAATTTTCAGTGAAAATGTGGGTCAGTATCGTTAATGACACTTTAATAGAACCTTTTGAATTGCCCAGATGCTTAGACGGTGCTTCATATCTAGATTTTTTGCAAAATCGCTTGCCAGAGTTATTAGAAGACTTGACATTAAATGTTCGGCAAAATATGTGGTTACTGCATGACGGAGCCCACCCCCCCTCACTTTTTTCGGAGTGTGCGCGACTTTCTAAACATTACTTTTCCCGACCGCTGGATAGGCCGCGACAGCCTAGTTAGATGGCTCCCCAGGTCCCTGGACCTCACCCCTTTAGACTTCTTTTTGTGGGGATATGTGAAAAATGTTATGTATTTCACGGAAGTTCGTGACATTGATCAATTGCGACGTCGTATTGACGAAGCTTGTAATACGATTTGAGAGGACGTGGCAATGTTGCGTTGAAGCTTGTGTGTAAGCAAATGGTGGATACATCGAACATCTACGAAAATCAGCAGTTCTCAAAATGTGTCTCCTTGCAATGTTGAGGTAAGTCAGATTTTAAAATTACATTTTACTCAACACAAAAACGTGTATTTAGGACTTCATTTTGACATAACACCCTGTATAAATTGATATTATTGAAATCAACAAATTAAACGTAGTAGATAAGTAGATATGTGACAATTGAATGATCTGGATAAATAGTTTTTTAATGATAATTTTATAAAGTTATCACTTTAGGAACGCTGTTAGACTTGACTTAAGTAGCTTTAATATCTTTTAAAGTATATTAAAAATAATCGTGTATTAGTTACATAGAAACTTTTATACCAGTAATGATATTTTCTGAATAAATGCTTCATTGCTGTTATATTTATATTTTTAGAAAATTTCTTTCTACATAATAATTACTGAATTCACTTAAAAGCAGTATATTTGTTCGCTTATGAACGTTCTTCATCAGCGACGTATTAAAACATAGCCGAACAACAAATTTATTTCGATAATCTCGAATCCATTAGAACAAACAATGGTAATTATTTTTAATACTCAGCGAGTACAGCAAACATAGCAAACCTACTACTCCGTGGCCCTAGCATTATAGAATCAGATAACGATAAAAAAAATGACATTTTAAATCAAATTTTGCGATACGGATTATTCATTTTCACTTTTTCGAAGAATTGTGTAAAAATTTCCCAAAATTTTTCTATTCAACAGTTCCGTTAATAATAATGTTAAAATAATATTGCAATGTTAATTATTCCGTTTAAACTTATTTGATATTCAGTAAGTTATTTTTAAAATGTATATTTACAAAGTTTCAGCGATTGTTTCTAAAATTGTTGTAAATTATTCACTAATCAAATATAAGAAGTCAAAATAATCATTATTCATCATTATGACAAATTTTTCCTTGAACTGTAAATCCAGGGATATTTCATATTATAATTTATAGGTTGGAATCTATTAAAGAAAATTTATGTGACAACAAGCTCTTGCATTACATTCAAATAACATATATTACTATTATAGACTCACATAAAGTGTGTATGTATAAAATTAAGAATTTGTCAATATTTTCCAAATATCTGAAAGTCAAAAGGTTGCAGCTCTCAGTACTGGTGTACAGTATTCTGTTTTCTTCACTATTCTTCGAGGCATCATGAAGTACGTAAGTATAATAGTTGTACAAGATTTTTAGATTGTTTAATACTTTTCTTGCAAAAACAATTGAATTAATCAAATAACCGGTTTTTTGTATACAGGGTGTCCCAGAATAACGTGTACAACGGCGGACCACAGATTCGTGGAATCAAAATAGGCAGATTTAGGCTAATTCACCTATATCCAAAATCGCTTCGTTTGGCCGCTAGATGGCCTCAAAGTTGGTGAAAATTTTTTGAATTTTGTAAATAACTCGAATATGTATTAATAGATTTTGATTATTTTTGGGGTGTGGACTTCTGCTTTCAATCTACACATTTTGGTGTTATACAGAGTGTTTTTTTAAACTTGAAACACCTACAAAATTGATGTATGGTGATAATATCCGTTCATAACTTTTTCCTCTTTCGGGCAATAATGACAACTATTTTTTATCTGATAGGTGGCGATTTGGAAGTTTTTGGGCCACTTGTAGAATTTTGATTATTTGAACGGTTTGGGTACAAAAAATATTTTTTAAATATCTACATTATCATGCCACCTATATTATAATAGTTAACAAAGTGAAGTGTTAGTAGGCACTAATTTTGTAAGTTGACTGTAATTTCAGTCTGATCTTTAACTCATTGTACCTGACAATTCTTAGTGAGTGTTTACGACGATGAGATATACCACCTGTTACTTCATTTTTTGATATGGATACACACACGACGAATTAGAATTATTTATAACGTGCCTAATTTTATTAAAAACATTAGAAAAAAAACAATTAAATACAACGCATTGATAGCATTATTATTGACCCTGTTATTCTACCCAATAGACTGAATGCCGAATTTTATTTAGAATTTTTGCAAAACACTTTACGCGAGTTATTGGAAGGTGTGCCGTTATTGCTCAGAGCTAACATGTAGTTTATGCATGAAGGATCTCCACCACATTTCACTGTCAATGTCCGGCAGTATCTAAATCAAAGATTCCCTCGTCGATGGATCGGTAGAGGGGATAATGTTCCTGTTAACTGGCCTGTTCGTTCACCAGACTTAACACCTTGCGACTATTATCTTTAGGGTACTTTGAAAACAACAGTTATGCTTCCATATCTAACACTGAAGAATAGTTGTGGGAGACATATTCAAATTGCCATAAATGTTTTAAAAAATTGCCCTCAATAATTACAAAGGGTGTCCTTTAACTTTCTTCGCCGAATTAACCTCTGTTTAGTCAGTGAACAGTTTTTATAATAAGTTATACTAAATTTAATAACATCAACTTTGTTACTTTTATCTCCAGTATTTTTTTATTGTATTTGTATTGTTTTTACTAATTATCTTAATAAAATTAGGCATGTTGTAAACAATTCATCGTATGTGCGTGTGTGTGTGTATCCATATCGAAGTAACATGTGTTATATCTTATCGTAGTAAACACTCATTAAGAATTGGCAGGGACAATGACTTAAAGATCAAACTGAAATTACAGTCAACCTACAAAATCACTGCTAGCACTCTTAAGTATTGTAATATGGGTGGCAAGATAATGTAGACATTTGAAAAATATTTTTTTTTTACCCAAACCGCTCATTTAATCAAAATTCTGCAAGAGGCCCAAAAACATTCAAATAGTATCAACTATCAAATAAAAAAATAGTTGTCATTATTGCCCAAAAGAGGAAAAGTTATTAACGGATATTATCACCATACATCAAGTTTGTAGGAGTTGTAAGTTTTAAAAAATACTCTGTATAACACCAAAATGTGTAGATTGNTATCTCACACCCTGAAGAACACTTGTATGAGTAGTACAGTGAAAAGATATCGTTTCTAACTTGCTTAGATTTTGTAAACAATTGGACAAAAAATTCATTGAAAATTGCGCATAAAAACGCCCCCCTTAATGATACTTTAATAGAACCTTTTGAATTGCCCAG